ACAAGTGTGATTGCATCCATTGCTCTCATCATCACATTCATTGATATCTAGCAGTAGCTACATGTGTATTCTAACAATTACGCAGATCATATTCTAGTCAATATCCAGAATTACAAGAACAAGTGTAACTGCCATTGGTATTAGTGCAAACTTGATTACAACCTCCATTAAAGGTATGACACTCACTGATATCCGTTGAAAAAGAATAACAATTTTTGATGTGTCATGCAAATTATATGAGCAATAATTCAAAAAATACCTTACAATAGTTTATTTTGAGTGAAGTATTTTTGTAAAATTTCTATTTGCCAAACATTCATAAGAATAATAAATAAATGAATATTTCATGCCATAAATTTTTCTGAACAAAGGCTGCATCACAAAATTTGCATAAATATTTCACCTTGACAATAAACCAGTGAATGGCTACATTCTATACCAGTGCAGTTCATACTGTTAGTGTCCAATGTGTATCCACTGAGACAAGAGCACCAATAACTCCCATTGCTATTGATACACAGCTGTTCACAGCTTTCATTATTAATCGCACACTCATTAATATCTTAATGTTAAACAATATTGTCATAATTAACTTATCAACTAATACCTTCACAAGTGTGTCCATCAGTATTCAAGGAGTAACCTGATTCCCAAGTACAGTAATAGCCACCAGCTGCATTGATACAATAACATCAAGAGTACATGGCCATCATGTACTCTTGATAATATGCACAGCCACCATTGGATATTAAACATTCATCAGAGATAAGGCGTGATTTTAAGACCAATGATTTAGCCGAACTTCAGAGTTTACTGTTAATTTAGTAAACATCAGTGTGGGAAGAAAACTCTTGTATCATCCTAAACAGTGATAAACATAGGTAAACAATGATAAAAGGTGATAAACATAAGTAAACAATGATAAACAATGATAAACATAGGTAGACAGTGATAAACAGTGATAAACATAAGTAGACAGTGGTAAACAATGATAAACAGTGATAAACATAAGTAGAGACTGGTAAACAATCATTAACAGTGATAAACATAAGTAGACAGTGGTAAACAATGATAAAAAATGATAAACAGTCATAAACATAGGTAAACAATGATAAACAGTGGTAAACGATGATAAACATAAGTAGACAGTGGCAAACAATGATAAACATAGGTAGACAGTGATAAACAGTGATAAACATAAGTAGACAGTGGCAAACAGTGATAAACATAGTAGACAGTGGCAAACAATGCTAAACAGTAATAAACATAGGTAAGCAATCATAAACATAAGTAGACAGTGGTAAACAATGATATACATAAGTAGACAGCGGTAAACATAAGTAAACAAAGGTATGTTACCTATTAAATCAGTGCAT